CACCCACGCTCACCCACACTCACTCACACTCATCCACACTCACCCACACTCACCCACACTTACCCACACTCACCCACGCTCACCCACGCTCACCCACACTCACCCACACTCACCCACACTCACGCACGCTCACCCACACTCACTCACACTCACCCGTACTCACCCACACTCACCCACGCTCACCCACACTCACTCACACTTACCCACACTCACCCACGCTCACCCACACTGCCTCTCTGTCTGTGTGTGGGGAGCGGTGGCGCAGCGGTTAGCGCCGCGCTACGAACCCGGCGACCCGAGTTCGATTCCCGCTCACGGCCCAACAACCACCGTCGGTGACGATTATCAGAACCGGTACCCGGGCCACCCCTAGGTCGACTCGGCCTCAAACGAGTACCCGGCGCGGCGTGCGGTAAACGTCGCCGCTGGGGGAGACAAAGGCGGCCGGGCCTCGGCGCCGGCCGCCCACCGCCGCCTCGTGCGCCGTGCCGGCCTTGGCAGGCGCCGGTCGCTCACGGCACTCGCCCCGACGCTCTGTGGAGGCTACGCGGGGGACCTTTACCTGCGTGTGAGCGTAGCGGAGCGCCCGGAGCTGGTGCGCTGCCGGCAGGAGTGGGGGCGCTCGCGCGACGCGGCGCTGGCGCTGGCGCTGCTGCCGGCGCGCTGCCGCGGGGGCGTGGAGGGGCGGCTCCTGCAGGGGCTGACGCGGCACGCGCCGGGGGACATCACCGGGGCCTTCTCCTGCGTGAGGCTCGCACGCTCGTGATCACGTGATCACGTGATCACGCACGCTCGCTCGCACGCTCACTCGCACGCTCGCTCGCACGTGATCACTCGTTCACTCACACTCGCTCGCTCACTCACGTGATCACTCGCTCACACGCTCACACACACGCTCGCTCGCACCGTGATCACTCACGCTCGCTCTCACACTCAACTCGCTCACTCACTCACATGATCACTCACGCTCGCTCGCACACTCAACTCGCTCACTCACTCACGTGATCACTCACGCTCGCTCTCACACTCACTCGCTCACTCACTCACGTGATCACTCACGCTCACACACTCACTCACTCGCTCACTCACTCACGTGATCACTCACGCTCACACACTCACTCACTCGCTCACTCACTCACGTGATCACTCACGCTCACTCTCACACTCACTCGCTCACTCACTCACGTGATCACTCACGCTCGCACACTCACACGCTCGCTCGCACGTGATCACTCACTCACACTCGTTCACTCGCGCTCACACTCACACGCAATCACTCACACTCACTCGCTCACTCACACGCTCGCTCACACACTCACTCACACTCGCTCACACGCTCGCTCACACTCACTCGTTCACACGCTCGATCACACACTCACTCAATCACACTCACTCGCTCACACGCTCGCTCACACACTCGCTCATACACTCGTTCACACGCTCACACACTCACTCGCTCACACGCTCGCTCACACACTCACTCACTCACACTCACTCGCTCACACACTCGCTCACTCACACTCACTCGCTCACACACTCGCTCACACGCTCGCTCACACACTCGCTCACTCACACTCACTCGCTCACACACTCGCTCGGGTTGTTGTTGACATTGTTGTTGACAGATCTCACACAACACGAGACTGATGTAGCTGTGTTGTTGTTGTTGTTGACAGATCTCACACAACACGAGTCTGATGTAGCTGTGTTGTTGTTGTTGACAGATCTCACACAACACGAGTCTGATGTAGCTGTGTTGTTGTTGTTGACAGATCTCACACAACACGAGGCTGATGTAGCAGTGTTGTTGTTGTTGTTGACAGATCTCACACAACACGAGGCTGATGTAGCTGTGTTGTTGTTGTTGTTGTTGACAGATCTCACACAACACGAGGCTGATGTACCTGTGTTGTTGTTGTTGACAGATCCCACGAACACGAGGCTCATGTAGCTGTGTTGTTGTTGTTGTTGACAGATCTCACACAACACGAGGCTGATGTACCTGTGTTGTTGTTGTTGTTGACAGATCCCACGGAACACAAGGCTGATGTACCTGTGTTGTTGTTGTTGTTGTTGACAGATCCCACGGAACACGAGGCTCATGTACCTGTGTTGTTGTTGTTGTTGACAGATCCCACGGAACACGAGGCTCATGTACCTGTGGTGTTGTTGTTGACAGATCTCACACAACACGAGGCTGATGTAGCTGTGTTGTTGTTGTTGACAGATCCCACGGAACACGAGGCTCGTGTACCTGTGTTGTTGTTGTTGTTGACAGATCCCACGCAACACAAGGCTGATGTACCTGTGTTGTTGTTGTTGTTGACAGATCCCACGCAACACGAGTCTGATGTACCTGTGTTGTTGTTGTTGACAGATCCCACGGAACACGAGGCTGATGTACCTGTATTGTTGTTGTTGACAGATCCCACGGAACACGAGGCTGATGTACCTGTGTTGTTGTTGTTGACAGATCCCACGGAACACGAGGCTCATGTACCTGTGTTGTTATTGTTGTTGTTGACAGATCCCACGGAACACGAGGCTGATGTACCTGTGTTGTTATTGTTGTTGTTGACAGATCCCACGGAACACCAGGCTGATGTACCTGTGTTGTTATTGTTGTTGTTGTTGACAGATCCCACGGAACACGAGGCTCATGTACCTGTGTTGTTGTTGTTGTTGTTGACAGATCCCACGGAACACGAGGCTCATGTACCTGTGTTGTTATTGTTGTTGTTGACAGATCCCACGGAACACGAGGCTGATGTACCTGTGTTGTTGTTGTTGTTGACAGATCCCACGCAACACGAGGCTCATGTACCTGTGTTGTTGTTGACAGATCTCACACAACACGAGGCTGATGTACCTGTGTTGTTGTTGTTGTTGACAGATCTCACACAACACGAGACTGATGTACCTGTGTTGTTGTTGTTGACAGATCCCACGGAACACGAGGCTGATGTACCTGTGTTGTTGTTGTTGTTGACAGATCTCACACAACACGAGACTGATGTACCTGTGTTGTTGTTGTTGACAGATCCCACGGAACACGAGGCTCATGTACCTGTGTTGTTATTGTTGTTGTTGACAGATCCCACGGAACACGAGGCTGATGTACCTGTGTTGTCGTTGTTGTTGACAGATCCCACGGAACACGAGGCTCATGTACCTGTGTTGTTATTGTTGTTGTTGACAGATCCCACGGAACACGAGGCTGATGTACCTGTGTTGTTATTGTTGTTGTTGACAGATCCCACGGAACACCAGGCTGATGTACCTGTGTTGTTGTTGTTGTTGACAGATCTCACACAACACGAGACTGATGTACCTGTGTTGTTGTTGTTGACAGATCCCACGGAACACGAGGCTCATGTACCTGTGTTGTTGTTGTTGTTGACAGATCTCACACAACACGAGACTGATGTACCTGTGTTGTTGTTGTTGACAGATCCCACGGAACACGAGGCTGATGTACCTGTGTTGTTGTTGTTGTTGACAGATCCCACGCAACACGAGGCTCATGTACCTGTGTTGTTGTTGACAGATCTCACACAACACGAGGCTGATGTACCTGTGTTGTTGTTGTTGTTGACAGATCTCACACAACACGAGACTGATGTACCTGTGTTGTTGTTGTTGACAGATCCCACGGAACACGAGGCTGATGTACCTGTGTTGTTGTTGACAGATCTCACACAACACGAGACTGATGTACCTGTGTTGTTGTTGTTGACAGATCCCACGCAACACGAGTCTGATGTACCTGTGTTGTTGTTGTTGTTGTTGACAGATCCCACGGAACACGAGGCTGATGTACCTGTGTTGTTGTTGTTGTTGACAGATCTCACACAACACGAGACTGATGTACCTGTGTTGTTGTTGTTGACAGATCCCACGGAACACGAGGCTGCATGTACCTGTGTTGTATTGTTGTTGTTGACAGATCTCACACGAACACGAGGACTGATGTACCTGTGTTGTCGTTGTTGTTGACAGATCCCACGGAACACGAGGCTGATGTACCTGTGTTGTTTGTTGTTGTTGACAGATCCCACGGAACACGAGGCTGATGTACCTGTGTTGTTATTGTTGTTGTTGACAGATCCCACGGAACACCAGGCTGATGTACCTGTGTTGTTGTTGTTGTTGACAGATCCCACGCAACACGAGGCTCATGTACCTGTGTTGTTGTTGACAGATCTCACACAACACGAGGCTGATGTACCTGTGTTGTTGTTGTTGTTGACAGATCTCACACAACACGAGACTGATGTACCTGTGTTGTTGTTGTTGACAGATCCCACGGAACACGAGGCTCATGTACCTGTGTTGTTGTTGTTGACAGATCTCAC